TTCAAAACAACAACAATAAAAACCAAAACAAAAACCCCACAAACAATAACAATATACCTTTAATCTGGCAATAGCTGGAAATAGTTCAACAAACACTACTAAGAGAAATCTGAATTGCTAATCTGTAGTATGAACAAAAAATGCGGAAATTGATTTTTAATTTTTCCAATTCATAAATTTAATTGGGTCATCTCTATGTCCACCTCAGAAGAAAGTATAAATTGTAAAGGCAGAGTATAATGCCAACAGTGGCAAAAGGATTTTCTGTCTAAAGAAGTCACACAGTGAGGTACACAGGGAAAGGATGTGACTTAGGAAATGTCAGAGTTTCAATGGAGGAGACTGTTCAGAGGCCGGAAGGGGTAGATTCTGAGGGAGCCCAAGGCTGACAATGTCTCCTTTACCACAGCAGCTGCAGCCCTGGTCAGCCAGCCAACACACTCAGCGCCAAGAGACCACTCTGTGATCTGCAGTGTCCTTTTACATTTGATGCAAAGAGTTTTCACAAATGCAAAAATGAAGATTGGCAAGCCTGGCAAAGTTTCTATCAAGTTGTGTTTGGCTTTTCCTTTCTGAAGAAATTGCTCCTGAGTCACCTGAGTGTATGTGTGTGTGTGTGTGTGTGTGTCTGTGAGTGTATGTATGTCTCTGTGTGTGTGTCTCTGTGTGTGCATGTGTGTCTCTGTGTGTGTATGTGTGTGTGTATGTGTGTGTATGTGTGTCTGTGTTTCTCTGTGTGTGTCTCTGTGTGTGTATGTGTGTCTCTGTGTGTGTCTCTCTGTATGTGTATGTGTGTCTCTGTATGTGTGTGTGTGTCTGTGTGTCTCTGTGTGTATGCATATGTGTGTCTCTGTGTGTGTATGTGTGTGTGTGTCTTTGTATGTCTCTGTGTGTGTATGTGTGTCTCTGTGTGTCTGTGTGTGTCTTTGTGTGTCTCTGTGTGTGTATGTGTGTATATGTGTGCCTGTGTGTCTCTGTGTCTCTGTGTGTGTATGTGTGTTTCTGTGTGTGTATGTGTGTCTCTGTGTGTCTCTGTGTGTGTGTGTCTGTGTGTCTCTCTGTGTGTGTCTGTGTGTCTCTCTGTGTGTCTCTGTGTGTGTATGTGTGTCTCTGTATGTGTGTGTATGTGTCTCTGTGTGTGTGTCTGTGTGTCTGTGTGTGTATGTGTGCCTCTGTGTGTGTATGTGTGTGTATGTGTGTGTCTGTGTGTGTGTGTCTGTGTGTGTGTGTCTGTGTGTGTGTCTGTGTGTCTCTGTGTGTGTGAGGAAGAATACGCATATGAGTGCTCACGAGCACTTGCATACAAGCTGTGAGCCATTTCAGTTCTCTTGGGCAGGGAGTCAAATGTTCTGCTGCTTCAATGCTAAATACTCCCCAGCCACTTCATTGTGAGGCCAAGAGAAAGGTCTAATAGCTGTCTTCTCATGCCTTGTGCCACAGGGACGGAGATAAAATAAGGGTGAATCAGATTCTCTGCCCAGTAAATCCTCTTATCCACGCAGGCGCCTGGCTCTCTTTTGCCTCTGAGTCTGAGTTTATTCAGAAGCCCCAAGGGAGCAGTTAGTTATTCAAGCTGTCCAGGTAGTCAGAACACACCCTGCAGGTTGCTTTGAAGCGTGAGTTACCACACACTGTGGGCTAAACAGTTCTGGACACAATAAATTCTCCAAGCTTCAACTTCTCCTAAAGATATGTGACAGCAGTGGCTTTGGCCCTGTGCACTTCATCCCAAGTGGCCTTGTCTCAATATGAGGTTGATATTTTCTGACAGGAAAGCATAAAAGGGAAAACATGGAGTTTACAGGTCAAATGGCCCAGCCTTCCCCTCCTGCCTCCCCTGTGCGTCTCTGCAGCTGTGAATGGGGTCGTTAATGCTCATCTGTGGAGACACAGGAGTGTGGCACTTAGTTCAGCCACTGTCACTGTGCTTGGAGATGCACAAAAAGCTAAGGACAATTCAGGTAGAGCTATTTTTTTTTGAAACGTACTGCTAGTTGCTATGCAAATCACCCAAAGGTGGTCCTGCCTTCATTGTACTCCAGGGGGCTTGGGGAATTGATTTAAGAAGAAACGAATAAACTGTGAGGTTGTGTGACACATGTGAAGGCCCATGCATACAAAAGTGAGTCCAGAAAGGATACACAACAGTGAGCCCAGAAAGGCAGCTCCAACTTGCTGAGACTCTCACAGGTAGAAACTTCCATCAAAATGGTCCCTTTGTGTTCTCGTGAAATCTGGAAACCAGAAGGGTCTTGGAAATCACTGATCCTGATCCCTTTTAAAGTGGAGGGCTGAGAAAATGGAACCCACAGGAATACAAGCAGCTGGAAGTCACAGTTATTGGGGCCCCAGCCTGAGGGAGACGCCTGCCAAGGGAAGACAGTGAATGGGGTGGGCTTTGAGTAGGTGTGTGTGCTGAAGGAGGCGCTAGGACTCAGAGACCCTGAGACCCCACACGTGCACAAATCACGTCTCACTGGGCAGAAGTGAACACAGCTCCATCATAGAGATCCAGTGAATGCTGTGGGCTCTGTTTGCTGAAGGAGGCATTAGGAGTCAGAGACCCTGAGACCCCACACGTGCACAAATCATGTCTCACTGGGCAGAAGTGAACACAGCTCCTTCCCAGAGATGGGAGGATATCTGGCCTGGCGCTGCTCACAGATTGGGATCTTGGGGGAAATAACACTGGTAACTAGCAGGGTTGAGGATTGCCCTGCTCTCTATGACTAACCCATCAATTGCGAGCATTCCTGGTTCCCAGCCATTCCCCCAATTTGAGAAGGAAGACAAAAATGAAACCCAATGGGCAGATCCCTGTCCATATGTTTACAGGAAAATGGAACCTTCAAGGCATCATTTAGGGAAACGGTGCCTCGGTGTCCTCAACTAAAAGGTGAAGGGGATTTTAGACCATGGTTTTCTATGTTCTTTGGAATACCCCTTTTCCATCTCACTAGGCTGCTGTGAGGATCACCTAGGCAACACAGGCAAAGTACACATTGATTATAAAACGCTTTCTTTTTTTTTTTTTAGTTACACAAAATAAAGTTTTTCCACGGTGAAATTTTCATACATTCATGTTATTGCCCCTTGGTCTCATTAACCCTTCCTTGCTCTCCATGTCCTGGGTCTTGTTCTCACCCCCGGCAGCTCCCCATATCGTCTCTTCCCCTCTTATGCACACCTAACAGCTTTGAAGAATAGGCTTTTGGTTTTGTTCAGCAATGAGGCTGTTTTTCTGATTCTGATTTTCCATTCATCTTTATTAATGTTTCTACAGGTCTTAGGTTTTTTTTTAACATGGGCAAAATGTCTATGAAGACAAAATGATTACAGGAAAGCGTAGAGAACGATAATGAGACTAGGAAGGAAATATATTGGTAACTCAGCGGGTCCTTCATCAGTTCACGTCTGCGCACATAAGATGACGATATGCTTATGACACAATCCAATCCCAGTCTGAGGCACTGTCTCGTGGTAGAGCCACTGCCATCCATTCTAGCCAGATCTCAACCTTGCGTCTTCACCATTTTATCCGGGGATCAGAGCCTTCGGCCTTGTGAGACACAGAAATATTTTCTTTCCATGCTTTCCTTTCTTCCCAGGGCTGATAAGTAAGGATAAGGATAAGGAGACACAGATGTTATGTCTGGTTCCCATCCCTTTAGAAGAGGCCACTCAGGGGTTCTCAATGGAATGTCGTAATTCTCACATGAGAGACTTTGTCCTGTGATGCCAAAGCAGGTGGGGGAGTTCTTTACTCCTGGAACTTTAGGAAGTCATTTCTAAACCCAAATGACAATTTCGTCTTGTCTGGAAGGAATCAACGAGATGAGTCGGCCAGCCAGGATGCGAACCAGATATGCTATTCTACAGACCTAATATTTTCAATCACCCAGATACATTGTGTGGCATCTCATCAATATTGCTACCGTTTCTCCTCAAGTCTTAGGAGTTCAGGGGAGCTCTGCTGAGGCTGGATCAAACGATTGGAATACACTTAAACTGCGATGACTCGTTATTACTATAGCCTCAAAATTACAGCCACTTTTCGTCAAAAGGCAAGAGAAGCATTGACAACAAGAGGAGCTTTTCGAGCCGAATGCCTGAGCAGTAACAGTATTCTCCAGTAAGTCAGTGAGTATTTTTATGAAGGCCCTGACTGAAAGGGAGCAGAGGGTGTGTGAGAAGTGAAGTGGGAGAGTAGGGGATTATTAGACAGGAAGGCCAGAGCGGGAACTGAAGTTCCACCGGGATTAATCTGCCCTGGTAACAGCAATGTGTTCAAATACAGGGGTGTTTAATTTAACACTCTCCTAAAATGATAATGTCTAAGTGTTAAATCACTTGACTGACTATAACCTGGGTCTGCAAGCTTTATGCCCTTGAAGCCGTCTCCCTACAGGGCCAACTGTCCAATTTTTGACCTCAAAAGAGAGACAACGGAATAAGTAAAGGTACAGTTGCAGCTGAGCTCAGTGTGCTGTGACTTGGACAAGGGCAGAGACACCACATTTGGGTCAAGTAATTTTGCTCATCTCTGGCCTCTGCAGTTCAGCTGTGGCAGCAGGAGGTACCAGCTGGAGGATTCTGCTCCTCTCTGATCTGAGTCTCTATGGCAATGCCATCATCACTAACAGTCGGGCTCCTGAATTCACACAACTCGCAGAATACTTGTACTGAGAGCACAATAGCTATTCTTATCAGGCCAGCCAACCATGTCTGTTGATTTCTGACATTCACCCATACTTTAAAAAACATAACTTCAAAAACCCAGACACTAATATGAAAAACTAGTCCATATATCTAGAACAGGCGAGGTGAGTTTCAATTTTTGTTTTTAAGCAGACTTCCACTCAGCCTGACTCCAGATGAAACAGTATAGTGTTGATAAGGAGACTTGCTGGTGAGAACCAGGAAGGCAGCAAGGAGGAGAAAAGACAGACAGGAAATACTTTCAGGTGCCTGACAACAAAGACCTCTGTTTCTGTACTTACAATAGCGGTTGGAGTGGCAGCCAGAACGCAATAGAGCACCAGAGGGGCAATGAAGCTTTCTTCCTCCGTCCCAGGGTAAGGCTTCATTAGGTCTCCGTCGTGACAGAAGAATCCTTGGATATGCACCTGGAAAGTGTCAGTGCATTCGAAGTAGTAGGCAAGCAGCACTGTCCCAGCCATGATGACAAGCTGAAAATACAGCATGGCCACACAGAGACGTTAGCAGGGCTTCGGAGCAGCGCTTGCCCCTGAGAGCACCCTCCCTCCATCACCCTGCTGCGCTGGGCTTGGGACTGGCAAGTGTGCGAGTGCCTGGCGCAGCATGCTCTGGACATCGGGGTTGCGTGCTAGCTTGTCTGCCTGCTCGCATCTGCTGCAGAAACCTTCCAGCAAATAACGTGCAGATCCCATCCGAAGGGCAGACCACAGCAAAGCTTATAGAGAGGTTTGGCTTCTGCTGTTACCCTCTCGGAAACGGGCATTCGGGTCAGAAGTGAAAGGTCAAATGGCAGTGGCTTTGCGAGAAATTTTATAAATTGTTAAAGATAGACTTACCATACGAAATGCTACTCAGTCAGTAAATGACTCTGTGTGTGTGTGTGTGTGTGAGAGAGAGAGAGAGAGAGAGAGAGAGAGAGAGAGAGAGAGAGAGAGAGAGAGAGAGAGAGAGAGAGAGAGAGAGGAGAGAGAGGTCTGTCCTGGCAGAGAGAGGCACTGTTTGCTATTCATACTCTTTTCTGCTTCTTCATCATCAATATGCAAACAGTCTCACATCTGTCTGTCCTAACCCTTCCGGAACTATCTCAGCTTCTCCTGGGGACATCTGTCCTTGTGTCCACTTTATCATAGCAGAACAGACAGTTTTTCTTAGGAGTCATTTGGATTGAGAATGCCTCACTCTTTCTAATCTCACTTCCTTTTCTATGCCTTTCCTTTTTGTTTTGTGTCTCCCAGCTGTAGTGCATTGCAAGTATGATTTCCCCGTCATCTCATATGAATGTCTTTCTTTTATCCATATCAGTCACCACTTTCCTCTTACTCAAGAAAGCCATATCCTACACACTGTCCCCTATACATGACTAGTTTCTTGTTTCTGGCTCTACAGGATGTAGTCTTCTAATATCTGACATTTTTACACAGTGGTCCCTTCACCACAATCCCTGACCATCCAATGATCATGTCTTCTGTGTCTCCCCAGGCCTGAAGTTGTTTACTGGTACCATTACAAATCACCAGTCTTTCTCTGCTTGTCTGTTGATTCAGATATTTGGCTTATTTTCCTTATAGCAATAGGGAAGAATCTTGAATTAGTGTATTTCCTATAAGACTAAGAGACAGGCAATCCAAAGTAGCCCCTGCTGGATGGAGCTCTTGCCTTCAGCTGCCTTCTAAATTCCAACTATACACAGGGCTTATTTTTGGGTATTTCTTCAGCATTGCTAGAAGCATATTTCTCTATTTCTTAGCTTTATCAGCTCTTAGGAGATATCCATTTGGAGAAGGGATGGGGTCTATGGGAAGCATTTCAAAAAGATAAAAGTAAAAATGGCATCTAAATTCCTCTACTATAAAAGATTCCTTTTGAAAAAACTGAAAGTGAAGCAAACACACACACACACACGGGGGGGGGAGAGAGAGAGAGAGAGAGAGAGAGAGAGAGAGAGAGAGAGAGAGAGAGAGAGAGAGAGAGAATACAAGGCCACAGAATGACAGAATGGAAACAAAGTATAGAAGTGTCTTAACAGGAAATACATCAGAATCAACCAACTGCAACGTTAACAAAACACTGTAACATCATGTACCTAAATTTGAATCTACAGCATAAATCTTGAACAGCTGCCTGATGTGGGATTAGCATTCAGAGAGAAATGAATGAATCAATGAGTTAACAAATGAATGAATTAACCATGAATTAACCAATTTGTAAGACACAAAGAACAGAAAATATTTGAGACTTGGTGGGTGGGTGTAGCCAGGAACTCCAGCAACTTCTACATAGATTGATACACCAGAATGAGGTAATTTTCCTGAGCTCTCTTCCCTATGAACAGCCAGAAACCCATTCCTGTGTTTCTCAAGCGATTCTCGAATGCCCCAGAATGTTCTCGATAATGCTCTTTTAGAGATGAAAGAGGAAAAGTAGAACAATTCAGAATGTAATTTTACTCTTCTTTCCCACTGAACACGCTTTTGTGACCACATAATAATAGGAAGCCAATTCTGTTGTTAAAAGAACAGGAAGAATACACGATGGGCTGCGTCTGTGAGCTGGAGGTTGGCCCTGTTGCACTGCCCGGAACAGAAAGAGTACCTCTGTGAACTGGAGGCGGCCCCGTTACACTGACGGTGGTCTACAATTAGCCCTCAGCCGTCCTCCCTGTCCTGGTCATGATTCGTCACTGTCTAGGTTTCTGCAACCAGTGCCAGCTGGCACTCTTTCCATCTCCGATTCTTTCCCGTGCCCATTTAGGGATGCATGGAGGGAGCCCATAACGTCGATGTCACACAAACAGATGGCGAGACTGTGCCAGACTGGGCACCAGAGGAAGAGGTGAAGATGTCAGTGTGACAGAGGCAATTATGGATGAGGGATGACAATAAGGTATGGGGAGATCACATGCCAGGGACTTTCCTCAGGCTCCCTTTCCTCAGAGTAACAGTCTAACACAAGAAAGTGCACAGCATGGTAATCTCACGGCAAGGATTTGAAAGATGCCAACAGAACCAGAAATCTAGTCTCCAATGGTTGAGGATGCAACGTTTCTACCCAGATCTCTGCTGGTTAAAGTAAATGTCACAGTGTGTTGTCATAGGAAAATCACAAAGTTGACCGAATAAACGAAAAGTGTAATTATTGAGCGCTGATTTACAAATGTGATACAAGCTGGGGCATCAGGGCTCCTGGTAGGGACAGTGGCGTGTGTGTGTGTGTGTGTGTGTGTGTGTGTGTGTGTGTGTGTGTGTGTGTGTGTGAGTGTAGGATCTAGAAGTAAGGCTAGAATGAAAAGACTGGTATTTGATGTCAAGTGTAAGACAGCACATTTCATATCAGGAAATCTTAGTGCTCTGTGTCCACCTTCTTGATTTTTGGAACACCTTGGTATCCTGAAGCGCAGATGTCATTACAGTCTTACCAGAAATGACAGGTTCTTTTCTAATGACTCGGGTTTTGTTTGTTTTGTTTTGTTTGAATTTGGCCATGGACTTCTAATGATAATGAACTGACAGCTTTTTCAGGGAACTGCCTCTGAATTGGGTCTCACAATGCTCTCCCAGTGATTTTTTCCATACAATATGGTAGTACTCGCCAGCACTGGAACAGACCATGTGATCTGTCATGTGACCCAAGTAGGATTCATGTATGTGGCCAATGAACTCAAGCAGAACGTTTGTGGTTGGGGACCAAGCAGGAGTTGTTCCTTTGGAGTTTTATAAAGGGGGTAATGTGGTAAGCAACAGCTGTTTGATGCTGTTCTTTTAGTGAGATGTCACACCGGATCAGTATCTTTTTAATATGGACTGAGCTCACCGTTCAGTAGTAGAAAGTGTGGTAAACACCCAGAAGACTCAGAGTTGAAGCCCCAAACAAACCACAAGCACAGAACACATGTTCAGGTTAATAGAAGCAAAGATCACAAAAGTGATGTTGTGAAACAGAATGAAGAAGCTGCCATTCTAGTTTTGTGTGGCTTGGACTCGACAGTGACTGAACTTGGCAAAGGTTCAGCTCTTTCTCTTGCTTTTAAACGTCTATTTTTCCCCTGTACATGATTTTTGTGGGAGAGTAGAGTTTGACTCTGTTCTCCTTTCTTAGCTTTTTTATTTCCAATTTTTGGTCTTTTTTTAATTTTGAAATTTAAATTAGAAACAAGGTTGCTTCACATGTCAATCCCTCTCCCTCTCCCTCCTCCCTTAGCTTTTGACAAACACCAAGTCCCTCTCACTTCTTTCAATGGCGTTGTTGTTCTTGTTTCCCTTTCCATTAGCCTGGATCATAAATGGGGCCATGTCCTCCAAAGCTCTGCTTCATACCCCTGTGATTGTCTTTCTCTGCTTTCTCATTTGGAGGTTTCATTTCTTTCTGTGACTTCCATTCTTCCATCCACTCCATCTCTGTCACTGTCTCTTTGTTTTTACATTCCCAGCAACACAGTGTTCAGGGACACTGCAGATGTCGCCTGCCTGTTCTAAGTGCAAGCAGAGCTTTTCTTCCCCACTGTGTCCCCTGTCCTCCTACATCCAAGCCGCCACAGTCTTGAACACATAGCCATCTTACTTGTAATGGAATAGTCTTTTGGTACACAGTGAAGATGTTTCTTCTCATTGGTTTAATAAAAGAGCTGACTGGTCAATAGCTAGGCAGGAAGAGGTTAGGTTGGGAGAGTCAACCTGAGAGGAGGCTGGGAAGAAGAAGAGCAGAGTGATGGGAGTCGCCAGCCAGAGGCAGAGGAAGCAGGAGATGAACACGCCCTGCTGAAAAAAGGTACTACCACATGGTAGAGCACAGAACTATGGGTTAATTTAAGATGTAAGAGCTAGTTAGCAACAAACCTAAACTACCAGCCAAGCATTTATATTTGATAATAAGTCTCGTTGTGGTTATTTGGGTGCTGGCTGATGGGACAGAGCTGGCTGGTAGGACAGAAAAACTCTACCTACACTCAGTATTATCTTAGGATCCTCCTTCCATCATTCAGCTCATGCCATGTCCAGCGAGCAACCAGCTTTTCTTATTTTAGGGCTCCCTTGTATTTATTCCATTTTCTTTTATCCGTTGCAGCTAGCTATCTTGCTCGTGCCCCATGTAATCTTTACTACATCACTGAAATTTGCCCTGTCTGATCTTACAGTCTTTCAGATTGCAGGCCCTCTATGACATCATTTACTCCCTGTTAAAGAGTTAACATCCTGTCCTGGGCATGACCGATCATGCTTAACCCTGGGAGGCTGAGGCAAGGATTTCACCATGAGTTCCAGGACATCTTGGATTACATAGTGCATTTAGGTATTGCTTGGCTACAGAATGAGACCCTGTCTTAATAAATACATCTGAATATAATTACCCTTAAGGGTGGACAAAATCATTCCCAAAATACATGGGTTGTTAAAGGGAAGCAAGTGTAAGGCATGGGCTGTCTCCCTCTGACTTAGGGTCAAGGAAGTACCTTAGGTTTGCAAAACAACATAGA